CAACTTTTAAACAACAGTAGAATTGACACAATTCCAGTTATGGTGTTACCAAAGAATACTGAATATATCAAGGAGTCAGAAGAACAAGTCAGTCTTAGATGAAATATTACCAGAACACTCTTTAGAGTGAGGATAGAAAATCGTGCTTAGTTAAAAAACATCATCAAGCACTAAAAAAGAACATCATGTCTGGTAAAGTAGAAGGTCAGCAAAAACAAGGGAAATCCTCAATAAGATGGATTAACACAATGGGTTCAAACATACAAAAAAAAAAACAACAAAAAAAAAACCTGTGAGGATAGTGCAGAACCAGGCAGCGTTCAACCCTGTTATACCTAAAGTCACTAAGGAACGGAAACTGACTTGATGGCAATTAACAAGATGAAACACAAGAAGTTCCAAGATGATGGCTGTGCAGCAGGCCTAGAAAAGATCAACACAGAACAAACTAGAACATGAAGTCAGGACCCCAGGAGGGATGGCTCCAAGGAGAAAAAAAAAGAAACTATTTTATGCATATATGTTCAAATTTTTTGAGAGGCATTTTTATTTTTGTTGCAGAATTTGAGTATTGATGACAGGTAATACAAAAAATTAAGCAAATTAAAAGGTAAAGCATTAACAACAACAGGAAAAACAAAAATTCACCTAAGAAACAATACTCACACCATGTGGCTCAGTTGTAAATATTTCACCATTATAAATATCAAATAATGATTCAACTCAAGTATTTGGAGTATGCATGAAGGAGAAAAAGAGAGAAGAGCAGTATTTTTAGAGCTCTTCAGATGTTCATCTTCCACTATTAAAGACAACTGATTTAAAACTAGGTAGTCAAGAACTAGCAGTATAAGAATTTTAGTTAAAAGTATGTAGGCATGGCGCTGTAAGATAAGCAAGCACTGGACTGCTAATTGTGAAGCTGGTGGTTCCAACCTACCAGTCACTCCTCAGAAATCCTAAACAGTGTCATTATGAGTCAGAACCGACTCAACAACACTTAACAACAACAGTAGGTAGATATTAGAAGAAAGTTAAAATATAAAGGGTCTTCAAAAATGTCATGGAAAATGTGTATTATGAAAAAAGTGCATGGATTTAAAAACTGTTTGTACCCAAATAAACTCATACTAACCTGCTGGTGTGGTACTGTAGGATAAGCACTGGACCACAAGGTCGGTTTGAACTGCTAGGCAGGGGGTTTAAAACTCAGCAGTTGCTCTTCAAAAACACTATACAGGGTTGCTGTGAGTAGGAACTTAACAACAAGTTGTTATAACATGTCTGAACACAATTTAGTTTGAGGCACTAAGAAGAATAAGATATCGTTTAAAAAAGTCCCTATCAGAGCAACATGAATTCTGCTACAACTGAAGGAAGGACAAACATTAAATTTATGATGATGCTTAGGTGGAAGAATGGTGATATCACTGATGAAGCATTTCATTAAGATCCTGAAGGAACTCTAACAGGAGATGAAACATGGCTTTGCCAGTAGGATTCTGAAGACAATGCACAATCACAGCAATGGCTTCCAAGAAGTGGAAGTGGTCCAATCAAAGCAAAAGTGGACCAGTCAAGTGCAAAAGTCGTGACAACAGTTTCTGAGGATGCTCAAGGCATTTTGCTTATTGACTTTCTAGAGGACCAAAGAATAATGTTATTGATGGTAAGTGCAATCAAGTCAGTTCTAATTCACAGTGACCCTGTATAGGGTTTCCAAGGAGTAGTTACCTGGTAGGTTTGAACCACTAACCTTATGGTTAGCAGTCAAGTGCCGATCCTGCAGTACCATATCATGAGTCCAAAGAATGATAGCATCTGCTTATTATGAGAGTGTGTTGAAAGTTAGTCAAAGCTTGAGCAGCAAAATGCCTGTGAAAGTTTCCCCAGAGAGTCCTTCACTACAATAATGCTCCTGCTCATTCCTCTCATCACACAACGGCAATTTTGTGGGTTTTGATGGGAAATCACCAGGCAATCACCTTAGAGTCTTGATTTGGCTCCTTCTGACTTCTTTTGGTTTCCTAAGCTTAAAAAATCCTTAAGGGGCACTCTTGTTTTGTTCTGTTGTTTTTTTTTTTCCAGATAATAACATCAAAAAGACTACACTGACAAGGTTAAATTCCCAGGACCCTCAGTTCTTTAGGGATGGACTAAATGGCTGGTGTCCTCGCTTATAAAAGTGTCTTGCACTTAATGGAGCTTATGTTGACAAGTAAAGTTTATATTTTACTTTTAATTTTGTTTTTCCATGGACTTTTTGAAGTCCCGTCATAGCTGAAATGCTTGAAAGTAGTTGCCCTTAGGGAGCAGAATTAGGGCCAGGGAGGGACATGGTAAGAAACTATTGCTTTTTGTTTTAAACCTTGCAGTAACATACATATATTATATAAAACAGTATATATGTATACATAAGTATACATTTTATCAAAATAGGCCTGAAAAGACTACTCACAAACTGGATGAGCTTTACTTGCTACATGGCCTTGCTGACAATGACTAGTCCTCAGCCTTGCTCGTAATGTGAGTCTGCACTTCTATCATTTTCTGTGAAAACACTTCTCCTACAAATGTAAATAGCAGTTTGCCAGACAAAAACAGTGACTCCGTCAGTGTACTCACTGGCCTCCATAAAGACCTACTATGAAGCACTCCATAAATAAGAAGTAACCTCACAAATCCAAAGTGCTAATGTTTGAGTTTTAAAAGAAACACAGACCCTCAATTCAGCAACTCACATTCTTAAGTAAATAAAGAAGTAGCGCATGGTGCCCAGCTACCACTGCTGACCACTCTAAAAGGGATCACAGCAGGAGCTCCTGCAAAAGGGAGAAAAATGTAGACCAAAACTCAAAATCATAAAAAGACCAGGCTTACTACTGGTCTCCTAGAGACTGGTGGGCCTCCTGACACCAGGGCTCTTAGACAGCCTTCAAGCCTGGACCTGAACACACCACTGGGGCTCAACTTTCAGCTAAATGACAGACAGGTGAATAACAGCACCTGCAGGTACTACTCATTAGAAAAATCAACCATACAAACTCACAAGGAGAGCAACTGCCTAGGGACAAAGCTCAGAAGGCAGGAAGGGATAGGAAAAATGGCCAAAGGGAAATGGCAAACACAGGGAGGAAGTGAGCAGAGTGCTTTTACACTGTGGGGACAGCACTCGGTGTCACTAAACAAAATGTGTATGAATTGTTGAATGGAAAACCAATTTGCTCTGTAAACTGTCACCCAAATTATAATTCACAAAGAAGAAGAACAACAAGAAGGAAAAGATTCTGCTTCATTCGATCTGCGGGAGAAGTTGGGAATGTGTAAGCTATATGTACATATGTACGTATGTATGTATGTATTTACTGTGTGTGTGTGTGTGTTTTAATCTCATAAGAGATTCTGATGTGCAGCAAGGGTAGAGAAACCCTGTCCTGGGGTAGGTAACATCAAAAACTCTATAATAAAAATTGGAACTCTCACCCTTCATTCACCAGCACACATCTGTAATAACTTACATTGTTGGGGATGATGCTATAACTGCCTTGTCTGTGAGGCTCCATCCTGACTCCTGTAAGAATGAGAGAGGTGCCAGGTTAGCTTCAATAAAATCTAATCAAATACTTTTGAAAGTTGCAAACATCAAAGTTAATGTTTTCTTAACAGTTTGCTGAATAGTTGACTGAAATCTTTTTTAGAAGGACATGTAAAAATATATTTGCTTTTACTTTCCAAGTGCCTGTTTAGTTAAAAATATTTTTGTAAAAAGGCTGAAATATTTATGAAAGTGAATTAAAACTATCTCCTAAAGCCAAGCAGCATGGCAAAGTAAGGAATTGCCTCAAATGAACTGCAGAAAAAACTCTATATATGTGTTTTACTATATGTTATACTGTATCAAATGGTAAGACAGTCAGCTTTCAGAATTAAAAATCAACCTATTTAATTCATCAGTCAGGAAGGAACTCTCAAATCACAAAATTTCTTACACCATACCTAATCACAGACTTCTCTGCACTATAGTCTTTAAAAGCACGTTAAGTATACCTGCTTAGTTTAAGTATGAAAAGTATGTTACCTGGCATATTTGGCGCTGCTGAAGAATCTGATGATGCAGCTTGGTACGGCAAGTCTGTATTCAACTGCAAAAGATAGCCCTCAACTGTAGGCACTTCATCCCATTTGACATGAAAAGAGTTGGTAGTGGCTTTGATCAGCTGTACTTGTGAAGGTGCCGGTGGTTTCTCTACAGAACAATACCCATATAGCACACTTCAGCTTCAAATTCATCAGTTATTTGTCTACATAGTTTATGGGGATGTGGAGCTTTGATAACATCAGCAATGAATATTTCATTTGTTTCCCAACTGGGAAAGTTTATACTCAGATAAAATAAGTCAAATGCAAATAATCTGGGGTCTATTTCTTGAATTCCTTACAGAGATAAATCTATCAATGACAAGTATCTAGTTCCAAACTACTTGAATCATACGATATTTTTTTCCTTCCTTAATGTATAGTCATTTTTCTTCCACAGGTGTGTTACCATTTACAATGAATTGGGAACTCAATGGCAAAAAACTCCAAAGTAAATTTGAGTCATAAGATTTAAAAAAAAGGAAAAAAAAATTTAGTCTGAGGAATACAGGGGAAAAAAATCAAGTATTACACAGTTAAAGCTACAATACAGTACTTTCTTTAGAAGTTCTAACCTCTTTAATTTTATGATCCAATTTTTAGTTAATAGTATATATCTTAGAAACACTGTTAATGTCACCAGAGATGACTTAAACATGATATTTTGGAAGAACTCTAACGTTAATATCCTCTTATCAAGATTCATGCTATCAAAATAAGTCATGATCTTAGTACCAAATAGTACCAACATTTTCAAAACCTAGAATATAAATAGAGAATCTTAGGGTTGGAAATAAGGATCTGAAGTTATTTCTACAATATCTTTGTCCCCTTTTGTATCTTTACAGAGTTGTTAAGTGCTGTCAAGTCAAGTCAGACTCATAACAACCCTGTATACAGTTGTTATTGCTGTTAAGTGTCACTGAGTTGGTTTCGACTCATAGCAACTCTGTATAGGGTTTCCAAGAGTAGCTAGTGGATTTGAACCACAGACCTTGTGGTTAGCAGACTGGTGTGTATCTTATAGTACCACACTAAGACAGGGGTCAGCAAATTATGGCTCAGGAGCCAAATCCATTCTATGCCTAATTTTGTAAAGGGATCCTATTCCCAAGCCCATTAATTTATGATTCTCAAAGTAAGACAGCCCTGTGAACAGAAACTGGTAATAAGACAATCCCAGGAAGAATACCACTCACATAATAGAAGTTACATGAAGAAAGATCAGAGAAAACAGAAGGGTGCAAATCAACGAAATAAAACAAGAAAATTACCCAGAACTAAAATTCACGATTTTCCACACTGAAAAAGGCAACTGAATGAAAACAGATATACAAGGCACTTCATCATGAAATTTGAGAACAGTGGGGACAAAGAGAACCCCTGAAAGCTTCAGGGAGTGGGGGACAAAGGAGTCACTTTCAAAGGGACCAGAAATCAGAAGTGGTTTGGATTTTTCAATGAAAGTATTGGAAACTTGAATATAATAGAAAAAAAGCCTTAAAAACTCTGAAGGATAATGATTTCCAATGGAGAATTCTATTTCCACCCAAACTATCAGTTAAATGGGAAAGAAGATTAAGCACATTTTTCAAACAATGAAAGAGCTCAAAATAAATGTTATCACCTATGCACCCTTTTCCTGGAATGTGTTCCACAAAAAATGAGGGCGAAAATCAAGAAAGGGAAAAAATTGGGGCTCCAGGAAACAGGGAATCCTGCACAGGTGAGAGGCAAAAGATATCCCCAGGAAGATGAAGGGAGATTCCAGGACGATCCCTGCTGGATTTGTAGAAGGGCAACCATCCCAGATTGGAGGAGGAGTTTCTTCAAGACGCTGAAATTTGATAGAATATCTGATGCATCTAACCATAATGAGAGAAGATTGAAACAAATGACAGAGAGTATGGGTTGAATTAGTAGTAAATACATACATATCTAAAACAAACACGTGGCATTACTTAATGACAAATAAGAAAATTGTGCAAGGAAGGCATTCACAGTATTCTACATGACTTAGCTGTGACTAGTGCTAACCCTGCCACAGAGTAAACACTGAAGGCTCATCTAACGAAACTGTAGTGTTAACTTAGTGAGAGAATAGAAGTTAGGGTGAGTTTCTGAGAAAGGTGAGGAATAATGGGAAGAAGAAACAAATCCTTAAATAAACAGTACTAAGTGAGGTTCTGTCCAAAATGAATAAAGAAGTTCATGTAAAAATACATGCATGTTACATCCAAAAAAACCAAACCCATTGCCACTGATTTGATTCCAGCTCACAGCAACCCTATAGGAGGAAGAACTGCTCCCCATAGAGTTTCCAAGGCTGTAAATCTTTACAGAAGCAGACTGCCTTGGAGCAGCTGGTGGGTTTAAACCCACTGACCCTTCGAGTTAGCAGTCAAGCACTTAGCAATTGTGCCACCAGGGTTCCTTTGCATGTTATATAAAGATATGAAAATAAATGCCCAAAGAACAGGGTTGAAAGCAGATGTTGGTGTGAGACAAGGAAAATAAGAGAAGGTGAAAGCAAAGGATTGCTATTTTTCATGCTATTTTTCACAAAAAGCCTTATATAATTATAATTACTCTTTGAAATGTTATTGAATGCACAATTAACTAAAAGTGAAAAAAGGTAAGATGGAGAGTCCCTCAACTCCTAAAATATTGATGCTAACTTATGAAAAGGTAAGGCCAACCTATAACAGTGACCACACTACTTTTAGATGGAACCAGTGTCTCAAACCCTCTTATGGATAAACTGGCTCTTCCGATACAAGGATTTTTAACTTTCTTAAATCACAGATCTCTTAGAGAATCTGCTTAAAGTCATGAATTCCCAACTGAGAAAAATTCATAGGCATATATTTTTTTTCATTCAGTTTCAAAGACCGAAGCCCATCATAGGCCTCAGTTAGTAATTCCTGATTTCAAAGGTGTTATCAGGAAGTTAAATTTTCCCTATTTCTTTCCTGCTTGTTTCTTCCATAGAAAGCATTTAGTTTCTAACATACTTGTTCCATTTGTTAATTTTTCAATTGTCTTAATTTTAATATTGTTTTCTATTACAAAAAACAATGCATATTACTATAAAATTATCGATAAGAAAATGCGGAATTCACCTCTCAGATAATACTTTGGTGTCTATCCCTTCACATATTTCTATTTATACACTTAACAAAACAAAAGCAAACAACTGGAATCCTAATGCAGCTTTCCATCTTCACAGTGCATGCTGTCATGTTAGGTCGATCCAGACCACAAGCTTTCTCATATAGCAATACTTTCTACACCTCCCACCTGTATTTCTCCACTGGCCTTCAGACTAGTTCACTCATTCATCTGTCTATTTCACATTAACAACACCACTGTAAGCTTTAAAAAACAAACCAAGCTCACTGCTGTTCAATGAATTCTAACTCACAGCAACCATATAGAAGGTTTCCAAGGCTGTAAATCTTGACAGGAGCAGGCAGCCTCATTCATCTCTGTGGAGCGGATGGTGGCTTTGAAGCACCACCAAGTCTCCTTAAGATGGTCTTAACATGGTCAAAATGGAATTCTTAGTGTTCTCCACAAACTTGTTTCTGCCTCAGTCTTCCCCAGCTCACTAAATGAAAATATCTCCAAATTAACCAAGCCCCATATTCAGGAGTCATCCTTCCTGCTGCGCTGCTACCTGCCTCACCCAATTCCTTGGTCAGTTCTTTCTACCAGCAAGAATTCCAAAACACATTATGAATGTGGCCATTTCTCTCCCGCTCTATCGATACAGCTATAGTCTAAGACACTGTGCTGACACGGTGCAAAAGCCACCTAACTTGTCTCCTGCTTGCACTCTTGAACCCTTGTAATTTCTTTTCCAATTAACAATTGCCAGTGAGATTCCAAAATGGACATCAGATCATGTCACATCTCTCCTTCAGTTCTATCATTTTACCACTGTACTGTCAATAATATCATTTCAACTCAATCATACCTTCCAGGCCCTACGTCATCTGCCCTCTGGTCACTCTCATCTTCACTTCCACATATTCCTCTTGGTTCACTCAGTTCAGATCTATTCCCAAACCTGCCACATCTTTCTATCTCAGGGCCCCTGTACTTTCTCCTTAGTCTCCCTGCAGTGTTCTTCCCTCAGCTTTTTACACAGATAGAGCCACATCTCAAATACCACCTCATCAGAGACCTTTTCTGACCATCTACTCTGACATAGCCACAACCCCGCTTCTCGTCCCCATTCCCAGAAGCTCCCATCACTATTTCATGGTTGTTTTACCGGGAACTGATCCTATTTTGTGAATTTGTGTGATGAACACCCATCGTCCTCTCTGCCCTCACTCCCCTTAAACGTAAGTTCTTTGAGAGCCGGAGTGCTATTAGTCTTGTCCACTGCTGTATTCTCCACTTAGTCAGAATGATTCCAGATTCCATAGTTGTCAATCAACCAATATTTACTGAAAAATGGGTCTGAGTTCCATTTTTTTAAAAAAAAATGGTGTTCTAATATTTCCTTGAAAACTTTTAACTTTAGAATAATTTTAGACTTAGAGTTGCAGAGATAGATAGTACAGAGTTCCCACACACCCTTTACTCATCTCCCTTTATGCTAACATCTTACATAATCATACTATGTTAAATAAGATACTAATCTTGGTGTCATACTGCTGACTAAACTACAGACTACCCAAAGTTCATCAGAATTTCAGTTAGTGGGCTTTTTTTGCTTCAAGATCTAATCCAGGATACCACCGTGTATTTAGTTGCTATATTTCTAAGACTCCTCCAATCTGGCTATTTCTCAGTGTTTCCTTGTTACTCATGACATTGAAACTTCTGAAGAGTACTGGTCCCATATCCCATAGAATGTTCCTCAACGGGGTTTGTCTGCCATATTCTCAGGGTCAGGCTGTAGTTATAGATTTGGGGGATGGATACCACAGACATGACGTGCCTTTTGTATTGTATGCTATCAGGGGCAGTGATACTAACATGACACAATCACTAGAGATGTTAGCCTTGCTCATATTACTAAGATGATATTTCCCAGGTTTTTCTATGGTAAAGTTATGATTTTTCCCCTTTCTGTACTCTGTTCTTTGGAAGCAAGTCACTAAATACCGTTCCCACTCAAGGGGAGGAGAATCACACTCCACCCCTTGGAGGAAGTAGTATCTACATATACTATTTCTCTCATTCATTTTTAATTGTGGGAAAGAGAGATTGTTACACTAACAGTAAATATCAAAAGACAGACATTATTTGAGTATTTATTTACCTAAAGGGCAAATTTTATTTTTTAAATACTCTTACCTACCAGTATCAAGATACCAAAGATCTTTGCAGCAAACTTGACTATTCAGTGCTTTTTTGTAGCCATCTCTTCCACTCCAAAAGTATAACCGTGAGCCAATAGCAACAGCACAGTGTCCAGCTCTTGGTCTTGGTCTTGAATTTTTCTTATCTTCTTGAGAATCTGATACTAGGGTGGTCCACTCTGCTGTATCTAAAAATATAGAAATATTCATGACTAATCTATTGTTCTTAAACAGTAACAAAATTTCTTTTATTAAGAAATTCTATTTTTATAAGAAACTCTTCAAAAACTCACCCAGGTTTAGGTAAGAAAATGAACTGGTACATCTCCATTCACAATCATGAGGCGAATTCTCAATACTTTCCCCCTTATGTGGAACCCAGCCACCAAAAATGTACATCCTAAACAATGACAAAAATAAACAACAACATAAAGTAGCTAAATAACTTTTTAAGTTTTATTTTACTTTCTGGATTTAAAATGCTAAAAAGAATGGATTTAAAATGCTTATTTGTTGACTCAAAGACTCAGGACAATTCACTTATTGATCACTGTCAAGAGAATGGGAATAAAATGATGAATAAAACAATATTTGCTTTCAGTAGTTCATAATTCTATGATGCAACACAACATCAGTTATTTCTCTCAGACAAGATATTTAAAATATATTTCAGGTATAGTACATTTGTAAACCAATATTGCCTACAACATTCTAAGGGTATCAGCAAGATGCCGACATGAGCTATGACATCAGAATGAAATTTAGAATTCTATGCATACAGTATTCACTAGAGAATTAAGCTTCAAAAAAATTTGATCACTGATATCACACAAGTAAAAAATTTTGAACTATGATCCTCAGGGCCCTAGGGGTTTCTTGAGACATGCTTAATGGCTGCTGAAGGAAGATGACTTAACAGACTCTGAGATCTTGTCAACTAGAGAAGTTCTATTTTTATTTTATATATTAGGGTTCCAATGGAAAATTGCATCTTCTAAGAAGGTTATGCTGCTAAAAACTGTAAAAGATTGTGTTTAATCATAAAGACTGTTTGGTTTTGAGGCTACTGTAAAAACAGACCTAATGAAACTCTAAATTACAACTAGTGGTTTTCGAAAACATTTTTAAGGTTAAATCCCTATATTAGTAAATGCTTTGGTCTACACATTTTATACGCATTAATCCACTGAATTTTCATTACAACCTTGTGAAGTAGCTTCTATTATTATCCTCATTTTATACTTGAAGAACTGAGTTGCCCAAGATCATACTGGACAAGTACAGAGCTGAGAAGTGAATGCAAGCCATCTGATTACAGAACCTGTATTGTAACCACAGCTCTATACCACCCTCCAAAGAGCAATCATGGAGAGTAATGTGCTGAGCACAAATCAAGCACTACCAAAAATATGTAAAACAAAAAAACCCAGCAACTTAGGTATGTCAAACTTTTCCATGGAAGACAGATCAGTTTGACAACACTTGACCTAACAGTATGTAGACTCTGTGCAAGCATTGTGAGAAATGTCAAGAAGTCTAAGAGGCAGCATAAGAAGAAAATGGTACAATAAGTATTTCAGCTTCCACAGGAACATCATTTTAGTTTCAGTAAACATCGTCAAACATTGTTCAATTCAGTAATCTGCTGCCAAGAAACTAGTATCATCACTCTTTAGTATCTTTCTTAAGATGGTTCAAACAAAACAAACAAAAACCCATACTTGTTTCCTATAACACTGGCTGTGTGAAGGCTTCGTGGAAGTGGCACAGTCCCTTTAGTTTCTGGTTTTGACCATGACATCGTTTCTAAAAGTAAAAATAAGTATATTAGCAATTTGATCTAGTAACAGCAAATGAGCTCAACTTAGTTATTTTTTAAAGAAAGAATACCAAAATGAGCCAAAAATGTTTCAAGACAGTGACTTGAATTTCAGTTTAAAAGAAACATTTCCAGCTGACCTAACTAAATTGCCATCACAGATAACTATTTACACTTGAATGTTAATCCCAAGGGCTTCAAATAGTTCATGGACAAATGGAATGAGAAAATAATGAAATTTTTCCATGAGTTTTTTGAAGGGACTGTTATTTATAACAGAGGTAGCCTGAGTGTGCCATCAATTATAAATTAATATCAAGATTAGGAAACTTAGCATTTTAAGAGAGAGTACTTTGTATAGAAGACAGTCAAAAGTAAGCAGCACATCTACATTCAAATCATTCTTTCATAGTAGTCAAAGAATAATGACCTCTGGGCTTGTCACATTAAAAACACTGTATTTCTTATGGACTCCTGGTGTGGAGCTGTAGGATCAGCACTGGACTCTGAACCACAAGATAGGCAGTTTAAACCCACCAGTCACTCCTCGGACACTCTACACAGGGTCACTATGAGATGGAACTGATTTGACATCACTAATGACAACAACAAATTTCTTATCAGTAGAGTAAACCATATAATTTATCTTCCCCAATTGGAACACCTGTGAGTGAGAAAGGGGGTATTCTTGATAATTACACGAGACAATCAACATAAGCAAGGACCATACCAGCAAACCAAGGCATACGTGCCCTAGCTTCAGGAAGCACAGGAGAATTACCACCATAAACCTAACATTAGTTTGTTCAGCCTGACTAATCAGCAAGCAGTCACATCATCTCTCAGCTGCCCTTGCTGCTACTAGTGCCGGTTAAAAGTGAATGCTGCTCAAAAATATTAGAACCAAAAGTATTTTTCAAAGCATTTTTAATTTACTTTCATTAATCATAACCTGGGGTAATACAAACAGTCAAGCACTCAACTGCTAGTCAAAAGGTTGGTGGTTTAAACCCATTCAGATGCTCTTCAAGGTGGAGCAGTGAAGTAAATGTTGGCTGCTAATCCCAAGGTCAGTGGTTCAAGCCCACCAGTCCCTCCATGAGATAAAGATGAGGCTGTCTGCTTCCATCAGGATTTACCTAGGCAGCTGTCCTACTCTGTTCTACGGGGTTACTATGAATTGGAATGGATGTGACGGCAGTGAATTTAGAGACTCCTCAGAAGACAGACGTGCTGATCTGCTTCTGAAACAGCCAAGCCTTGAAAAACCCTATGGGACACTTGTGAACTGCACACCTGGGATTGCCATTAGTCTGGAATCATATTGACAGTAGCTAGTAACACCAATTATAACCAATTCCTGAGTTTGAATCAAGTTAAGCTTACCTAACTCAAGTTGCCATAGGTCATCCAGGCGAGCACCACACATTCCCCCAAAAACATACATTTTAGGACTTCCAGAATCTTTTTTGCAATATATAATGGCTGTGTGGGATTCTCTTGGAGAAGGCACGATCCCTTTCGTCACTGGAATGCTCCAACCCACAACACCAGAACCATGCTGCAGGTCCAACTCATAGAAATCATTTAAATATCTAAAATATAAAAGAAATGAGAACATTATATTATATATCTTTTATTTGCTTTAATTTTTGCTTCTATTTATAAAGATAATATATTTCTAAAATATTATAAAAGAAATGAGATTATATTGTATATCTTTTATTTGCTTTAATTTTTGCTTCTATTTATAAAGATAAGAATCCACACAGCATCAGAAAAGCATTGTGAGAGTAGCATTCAACACATACTTATCAAATGCTACTGTATACTTCTTCAGTCTGAAACTGTCAAACATATAATCAAGACGCATTGACAATTACTAGTGACTGGAATGCAAAAGTTGGCAACAGCAAAAAAGGATCAGTAGGTGAAAAAAATGACCTTGGTGACAGAAATAATGCTGGAGATCCCATGACAGACTTTTGCAAGACTAATGATTTGTTCGTTGCAAATACCTTTTTTTACAACATAAGCAGCGACCATCCACATGGACCTCACTAGGTGAATACACAAGAATCAAATTGACTACATTTGTGGGAAGAAATCATGGAGAAGTTCAATATCAACAGACAAAACAAGGCCAGGGGCAGACTGTGAAACAGACCATCAGTTACTCGTATGTAAGTCAGGCTAAAGCTGAAGAAAACTGAAACAAGTCCATGAGAGCCAAACAGAAATTTGAGTATATCCCACCTGATTTAGAAACTATCTCAAGAACGATTCACTGCACTGAACATGAATAACCAAAGACCAGTTGTGGGATGACATCAAGAACATCATATGGAGAGGAAGCAAAAAGTCATTTATTAAAAGACAAGAAAGAAAGAAAGAAAAGAGCAAAATGGGCAACAGAAGAGCCTCTTAAACTTGCTCTTGGAAGTAGAGTAGCTAAAGTAAATGGAAGAAATGATGAAGTAAAAGAGTTGAAAAAAAACATCAAAGGGCAGCTCGAGAGGACAAAATACTATAATGAAATATGCAAAGACGTGGAAAAACAGAAAGGGAAAAACACGCTCAGCATTTCCCAAGCAGAAAGAACTGAAAAAGAAGGAAAAAAAAAAAAAAAAAAGCCTTTGATTGTATGAGTAAAATACTGCACAATTCAGAAAGCACTGAAAGAAGGTGGATGGAATATACAATCACTGTATCAAAAAGAATTGGTTGGCATTCAAACCATTTCAGGAGGTTCTATACGATTAGGAACTGATAGTACTGAAGTTCTTCGAAGAAGTCCAAGCTGCATTGAAGGCACTGGCAAAGAACAAATCTCAAGGAACTGATGGAATACAAAATGGAAATGTTTCAATATATTAATGCAATGCTGGAGGTGCTCACTTGACTATGTCAAGAAATTCTGAAGATAGCTATCTGGCCAACTGACTGGTAGAGATCCATATTTGTGCCCATCCCAAAGAAAGGTAACCCAATGAAATGAGGAAAGCATCGAACAATATCATTTCTATCACATGCGAGTAACATTTGCTGCATATAATTCAAAAATGGTTGCAGCAGTACATCAACATGAAGCTGCCAGAAATTTAAGCCAGATTCAGCATGGAATTTAAACATGGATCTAGGGATATATTTCTGACGTCAGATGGATCTTGGCTGAAAACAAAGAATATCAGAAAGATGTTTACTTGTGCTTTATTGGCTATGCAAATGCAATCAACTGTGGATCATAACAAACTATGGATGACACCGCAAAGAATGGGTATTCCAGAACACTTAATTGTGCTCATGAGGAAATTTGTACATAGACCAAGAGGTAGCTGTTTGAACAGAACAATGGGATACTGCACGGTTTAAAATTCGGAAAAGTATGCATCAAGCTTGTATCCTCTACCACACTTACTGAATTTGTATGCTGAGCAAATAATCTGAGAAGCTGGACTACATAATACAGCCTCAGGATTGGAGAAATGCTCATCAACAGCCTACAATATACAGTCTTGAGGCACTTACTGATGAAAATCAAAGAATAATGCCTTCAGTATGGATTACAACTCAATGTCAAGAAAACAAAAAGCCTCACAACTGGACCAATACCTACATAACATCATGATCAAAGAAGAGAATGAAGTTTTCAAAGACTTCCCTTTGCTTAGATCCACAGTCAATGCTCATGGAAGCAGCAATCAAGAAATCAAACAAAACCAAGTAAGTCATTTTTAAAAAAAACAACTAAGTCATTTTCAGGACTAAGGTATTTCTGACCCACACCATGGTATTTTCACTTGCCCTATATGCATGGGAAAGCTGGACAGTGAATAAGGAAGACTAAAGAAGAAATGATACATCTGAATTATGGTGCTGGTGAAGAATACTGAAAGCACTATGAACTGCCAGAAGAACAAACAAATATACCTTGAAGAAATGCAGCCAAAATACTCCTTAGAAGTGAGGATGGCAAAGCTTCATCTCAAATACTTTGGACATGTCATCAGGAGGGACCAGTCCCTAGATAAGGACATAATGCTTTGTAAAGTAGAGAGTTAGTAGAAGAGGGAAACCCCAATGAGATGGACTGGCAGTGGCTACAACAGTGTGTTCAAACACAACAACTGGAGAATGGCACAGGACTGGGAAGCACCTAACCACAACAACTGTGCACTAGGAATTCTTCTAAGCACTGGGGACCAGTAGTGAACAAAAGAGAAAATCCCTGCCTTCATTTCATCAATACTCTAGTTGATGACAACAACGGTAGTTTCAAAGTATAGCTGCAAATCTTCTGATGCTCCTCCCATCAAGAGCTGAGGTCTATGTGACCACCCCTTGAATCTGAGTAGGGTGTGACTACTTCAATCAATAGAGCAATGCAAAATGACACCATGTGACTCCTGAGGCTAGGTCATAGAAGACCAATCAATGCTGCTTCACTAGAACACTCGATCTTAGCACCCTGAGCCACCATGTCGGAAGTCCAACTACTATAAAATCCTCATTCTGGGAGACCATTCTGGGAAGCTTAAAGGGCAACAGTACCAGTTATGATTGCCCTTTAGCCATTTCACATGAAGCTCCAGACATGGGCATAATCAAGACTTCCCATCTGTGTCCTGTCTGAATTCCTGAGCTGCAGAATCTACACGGATAATAAAATGGCTGTTTTATATATAAGTTTTGGGACAGTTTGTTACATGATAATAGAGAACTGGAAAATCACTTATGACAATATTCCAGCACGTATCCTTTCAGGCCTCTCTCTGTGGATATCCACATATGGATAAAAGAAATCCTAGTACAAGTGCTACTTTGCTATTTATTTTCTTTTTAAAAATTGTACTCTATAGAAATGTCCTATACACACTCTTAAACTTTAGAAACTGGGATCAAACTTGTCATCTGTGACATGGATTCTCTCAAAGTTTTGAACAAAATGACTTTTATAGGGTTTTATTTCCTACCAAATTACTACCCAAATTTGAATGCAAAATTAAAACATGTTGTTTTGTTGTTAAGTGCTGTGAAATCGATTCTAACTCATAATGACCCTATATAGGGTTTCCGAGGAGCAGCTGGTGGGTTTGACCCACTGACCTTCTGGTTTGCAGTCCAGTGCTTATCCTACAGGCCACATAAAACATAGTTCAGCCATACAATTGTTTTAGGGGAAATAACTATAGGCTATCATGCAGGAAAAAGAAGTTCAAAAAAGAATAAAAGGAAAAGAAAAATGGTAGTGCAAAGAACCATAAATTTTTAGCTACATTAAATTGATATTGACAATGTGGTTGCAAGATCTATAGAATCACTAAGAAACATGTGTAAAAACTTAACTTCTTAACATCACCATAACAGAATAAATTTCAAGAATATAGGGAACATACAGAAAAAAGAGGGTAGGCAAAAGAATGCTTGTTATTAGTGCCATTGAGTCAGTTTTGACTCATAGTGACCCTGTAATGGGGTTTCCAAGGAGTGACTGGTGAGTTTGAACCACTGAACTTGTGGTTAGTGGTCCAGTGCTGATCCTATAGCACCACACCAGGGCTCAAAAAAAATGTTAAATGGCAATTTAGTCTCAAGAATGACAAGCCATTTTAGATGTGTTACTTTCAGAGCAACTAAGGGAAAACTAGAATTAGCATGTATAACTTTCAAATCACTAGAGGGAAAGAAAGAGTTCAAGAAAAACAATACAACTAGAAAAAAATAAGGAAAAGAAAAAGTAAGCAAATAATAAAAAAATGAAAAGCAATTCATAAATGATGAAAACAAATTATAAAAGGGCAAATTATTATTATTTTTTTATTTAAAAAAGAGGACAAATTATATGTTCTTTTAAAAATCAGTGAATATCACAGAAAAAGATAAACTTTCCTTAAGAGAAAGCTGTTGTTGTCAGGTGCCATCGAGTCAATTCTGACTCACAAGACAAAACACTGTCCGGTTCTGCATCATCCTCACAACTTGTGTTTTGTTGGAGCCCACTGTGTCAGAGATCCTACAGAATCAGGGAGTGAGCAACTACACAATGCTGTCGCTGGTAAGTGACTCATAGCGATCCTGTGTAGGGTTTCCAAGGAAGGCCTAATGGGTTTGAACTGCTGACCTTATGGGTAACAGTTCAGTGCTTATCCCACAGCACCACACCAGGACTCCCAACCACACGACAGACATAGATAAAAAGATATAAACTTACAGTTAGCAAAATAGAAAATAAAAATCATATATATTTATGTATATACGAGGAGGCTTTGAAAAGTTCATGGAATATGGAATTAAAAGATAATGGAATTTTCCCACAAACTTTCTGAAGTCCCCTCATACATACACACGCATGTAAACACACACATATATTTAAAAATACTCAACATCATTACAACATTTAATAATCTAGCAAAGGCAAGAAATGGAGGAAAGAACAGCTACAAAGCAGAGGAGGTGGAAGACATAAAGTACGAGGCAGGAAATGTTTCCCTATTATAAGGCAAAGTCTATAATAAAAGAGTCCTGAATGCAATGATAGCAAGCATGATATTAAAACTATTTAACTGATATGCCACAGGCTTAAACTGATCAGGGT